TTCGTTATTACTTGAATATTGAATACAAACTTCTTATATGAGCTGCATAACTTTTGATGTGTCATACATTCGTGCACCAGTTTAGCATCTTACCATATTTACATAAATAAACTTACAATTAAAATTTTATGTCATTCTATCTTCGAGTAGAAATCCATAATTTCGAGTAAATTTTTAGGAAATTTCCTACACCTTTTCACTTCGAATTTATTTTAATAACTTTTTAAATTTTTAACTGTTTCTAAATTTAAAACTTAACATCAGTGAAAATTCACAATTTCATTTTCTTATTTAATTTTATTACATTTTCGCTTTTTAAATTTATTATATCTATAATCGCAAATTTAAATATAAAACAGAAATAGTTTCACTCAGTTATACTGAAACTAACGGAATTTTTTAAATAAAGGATGTATATTTCCTGTTTTTCGCCTTTGTTCGTAGTAAATAGCATCATCACCGCCTGACATAGAACTCAAACCACCTGAACGCTTAGTTACAGAACTGCTTCCTGGACGTGCACCTGGTTCTCCCGGCATTTTTTCGTCCTCACAATCTATGTCGGAAGCAGATAAAACTATCTGTAAAAGTTGAGCCTGCTCTTCACGTGTTTTATAAGCAAGGGTATCGTCTGCGTCCATGCCTTCAAGACGTGTTATCACTTTATAACTGTAACCTTGATTAACTAAAAATCGTTGACGCTTGCGAGAATAACCCATTTCCAATGTGTCTTGCGAAACGAGTGTATAAAAGAAAGCATTATATTCTTCTGCTATGGCTCCTTTTTTAGCACGTAGAATACGACCAAGTCGCTGAGCTTCTTGACGACGTGAACCACCATGAGAAGAAATTTGGATTAAAACATTTGCTTCAGGCAAATCGAAACTTGTATCGGCAACCTTAGACACAAAAATTGTATTTACCTAAAAAACATAAATTTTATTTATTTAAACATTTATCTAGAGTAATCTGATTAAATTATTACCTTCTGATTAAATTTAAAATTTTGGAGAATTTGTATACGTTCACTTTGAGAAGTTGGGCCGTAAATAAACGGTTTATTCATTTTTATTGCATAGTGTTTTAATGCAAACACATTATCTGAAAACACAATAGTCTTGTCTCCCCTTTTTTCGTGATACTTAATAAGGAACTGACATGCTCTGAATTTTGATGGATTCATTACATAAAGCAACATTTTCTTAGCAGTTTTTGTGGTTAGATATTCGCGATAAAATTCAGGTGACATATAACACCAAACCTCAGCACACTGCACTCTTGCAATAAAGCCTTTCTTCTGTAATTCTAACCAATTAGCTTCATAAAGTTTGGGACCAATGAGGAAATTAAGATCAGCAATCTTATCATCTTCACGTAGAAGTGTTGCAGTTAACCCTAATTTACAATGCGACTGCACAATGGTCAAAACGCGACGAAACATCTTTGCTGGAATTGTATGCACTTCATCTAGAACCATTATACCCCATTCCTGTTCCTGTAACCAACGCATAGTTTGTTCAGCCTCCCAGGAACGTTTTTGTGTATGTGTAATCATTGAATATGTTGTAACAAGTATACCACAACCCATTGGTTTATCCTTGGCTTCGGAAGTAAACCGACAAATCATACTGTCATCAGCAGATGACCACATTTTAAATTGTTGCTTCCATTGTTCCACAGATACACCACTGTTACACAAAACAAGTGCTCGCTTACGTACAGTACAACAAGCGGTCACGCCAACCAGCGATTTACCTTAAAAAGCATCTAGTACTTATAAAAATACTACAGTACACCATACAGATTTAACATACCCGCTCCACAAGGTAAGACAATTACACCAGAACGAGCGCGGCCATTACCGAACATTTTACGTAGACTTTTCTCTTGATAAGGACGTAGGACTGCTGTTGGTTTCAAATCTATATTAATATCTGGATTGTTTGTATCATTACGAAAATCATATTCTGCTAGTAAAGGATGCTCAATTTCAATGCAACGTCTTTGAATTACTTCAATTTTTTCTTGGTTTACTTCAAATGATACAGTATTTAGACTTGCTTCATCCTCATCTTCATCCTCGTTATCAATTTTATCATAATAATTGGTAATATCATCTGGTACCACACCAGCAGGATCAGCGTTAGCAGCGGCAGCGGCATTTGCATCATTCGCATCACTTACGGTTGCAGCCGCGTTATCATTAGCAGGCAATTTGGTACCAAATGTTGTAATGGCTTTATGATCAACAGTTCCTTGTATAAATTCTTCATTTTCATCTCGCTTTAGACGACATTGTTGAATAACGGGATCTTTAAGTAACTTTTGTAAAATTTCTGGATGTGGTGACTCAATAAAGTATCTTAAAATTAATTATGTTAGAACCAAGTCCCTTTGGCAATATCCATGTACTTACTTATTGTGCTTAAGAACTAATTTCACTTTTCCATAAGAAAGTGTACAAAGTTTTATAAATTCCACAATACCGTCAGGTACTGTGGTTTTACTTAGACGTTTCAAATACTCAATTATATCATTGGTTTGCAAACCTACTGAAACTGCAGCATATAAACTGTACGCAGTTAATTTATACTCATGTATGTGCTCAGGACGACAAATTGGTTCTGCTATTGCAATAAGAAAATCATGAGCGTGTTTATAAACTGGTGAGAATGATTCTAAAAACACATGGCCATTAGGTGCTACCCATATCGGACGATTTGTATGATCTGTTTTCAATTCCATTAATGAGCGGTAATCTTTTGCTCCAAACTCATCAGTCATAATGCCTTCATCATTAGTTTCTGCATTTTTAGTCGCAGCACCAGGTATACCATCAGTTTCACTACAATCCATAGGTTCATCTACCATTTGACTGTAGGCCTCATCTTCAGGGCGTCGTTTTTTTCCTTAATATAATAATGGTTTATTATGTTTTATTAATTTATAATAATCCATATAATACCAGTTTTATCTCCCCCGAATTTTTCTCTTTTTGGTTTTTTTGGCGGTCCCATTATAATTTATTTGTGAACAACTATTAATTTCACCACCAACCTTTTCGCAAACAAAACACACAATGCACTGGACACAAATAACCGGAAGTGTTGAACAACGTTTTTCACACTAAATAATTTTCGAAAATTGTTCACTTATATTTCCTCAATAATTTTTTTAGTTTATAAATGTTTGCAACTAATAAAAAATTTCCTTCTATAATTATATTAGTTAAAAACAGCTATTATTTGTTTTTTAAAAATATAACTGCAACCTCTAACTGAAATAGTGTACTTGCCACAATTATCATATTAACGAACTTTTAAATAAAGAATATTTAAAATTACTTATATTAAAATCCACTTACGTTTTTACAATTATAGGCATTATAATTCGATTTTAACAATCTGGTGCTACGAATTAATATTCAAATTGCGCCAATTTTACAAATGTCATATTTCATATACTGATGCTTCTTGAAACAGTGTTAATAAGTGCTCTGTTTTGCAAAGTATTATTCGTTTACGAAAATTTATGAAATTTTCAAATTTTGTTTGAATTTTCGTTTACATGTGATTTGTGGTATATGATTGCAATATTCGTTGGAATTTCCAATGAAAGTTCACCATTGTTTTCTAATTGCGTTTATAACACTTTTTTATTTACTGGCCGAAGTGTGTGGCCAGTATTCAATTACCGGCCTAGCAAGAGAAAACAGTGTTGTTGGTTTGCATACATTCCTGCCGGTATAGGCTTGGTGTTTTTTGCCCTACTTGCGAGCCACCGAAAACGCCTATTATTATTGCTTTTGTATTTATACATGTATTGTATCAATTAAATACAAATATAATAATTATATATAAATAATGACTTCTTCACAATTACTAACCTGTCAGAATTACTAATCCTGTCATCTGATTGGAGGTTTCCTTTTTAATCCAAAAATCATTCATAAGAGATCAGTTTTAAAACTTGGCATTATTGTAGTTCGAGTGGCTAATCAGGAAAGTGGGATTATTTTTGTGAAATTTGTTTTTGATTTGCATGTTAATTTTTAAGCCACACGTGTTCTATTGAAACATTGTTGTCGGAAGAATACACCTATGAATCTAAATTCTTCTTATTAAAACGAATGCGATAAAAAGCACATGATTCTAAAAAAATATGGTGGCATCATTTTTTGTTTGACAGTTGCAAAGGTTGTTTTTAGTGCAAGTATTAATTTAATGTGTACAAAAATTTAAATTAATAAAATTAAAAATAATGATTAATTTGCGTTCTATAGCAAAGTTTTCAAATACAAAGCAATGTTTATCAGCTGTGAGTGCATTATTAATTTTAAACTTATTTTAATTTTCGATTCACATAAATTTTAATGAACCCCACTGACATGTCTTATGTAAACGTTATATTAATGTTTATTTATTTTTATTCTATTTAGATCACTCAACTGCAGACAACTACAAACACTGAGCGGAATCAACAGTTCTTATATTTTGATAGTCTTACAGATGCTTGTCATATTAACAAAATTCATCCACAGCTTTCGAAAAGGAAATATTGCACGGCAGAAACAAATTTAATAAATAAACAAACAAAACAACAATTACAACAACAAAATGGCATACTTAAACGTGTACTACATAAAGTTGGACTTGCACCAAATTCAAAATCAGTACGTATTTATAAAAATATGTTTATTAACTAATTGTTAATTTTATATATTCTTGTTAGCGTCTTAAAGTAGCAAGTCATATGCTGTATGAAACAGTAGCGGACAAAATTAACTATTTAGTTTTCTTTCGGGATTTCAAACTGCCAAATACCTTCAATTCTTGGTTTCTTGTTACAGAATTGCATGTCTGGATGTTATTGGTCCGCGCAATGGCAGAGGGTTCAGAGTCAGGAGAAGACGGACGTTTTCTTCGTAACTGTATTGTGGAAGCTATGTGGGGTGATGTAAATATGCGTGCAAAAAAATTGGGTGTAAGTTAAAATTAAAATAACCTTATTCAAAGAAAATCCAAATTACTAAGTCTTATTTTATATAGGCAAATAATCCATCTCAAACACGCAAACAGATAGAAATTTTATCCGAACAGTTTCAGGCTGCTCTAATAGCTTACGACGAAGGAGCAATGTCGAATGACAGCATTATGGCTGGAGCGCTATGGCGTAGATTTTTTGAAATGAATTGTGAGGATTATGAGAGAATTGAACGGCTAGTCAAATATGTACGAATCCAAATGATTATGCTGGACCAATTGTCGCGAGAGGAATTTATTATTAAACCAAAAATACCTTGGGTTGAGTTAGACAAGATTACTGTAAAATAGTTTAAATAATATAATAATTATTTAAAAATGCCCCGTGTTTAGAAGAATATAAAAGCTGTTTCTATGACTTCTTGTTATGATGTTGAATAGAAAATTGTTTTACAAAAATTTTTCGACACTAAAATGAGTTACATGAAAACCAAAATAAAACTTACTGTAAATAAAAGCTGACTTTAAATTATATCAACAAAAAAGGATTATTTAAAATGGAAAACATTCTCCGTAATAAAGTGTAATTTTTGTGTTGGGAAGTTAAAATCACATGTAGTTACTTTATAACCTCTAGTTATTTTTTATATTTCTAAGTTGTTAATATACTTCAAAGTTGTAGTATTAAGGGGTACTTTGCGTAAAAAATCTAAAATTCTTTGTTCGACAACAGATCTGTTTGTGTCATCGAAATCTCTTAAATGTGTACTTATTTCAACTAAAGCATTTTCTAGGCTGAAAGGTTTTTCAACGGGTTCTTGCTTTATTACTTTAGCATCAGGTACTTGAATAGGTTGCTGCTCTAGTATATCAATATTGGGTGTTGCAGTGGGTTGCTGCTGTGTTCCTTTGATTTGTGGTATTACAATAGGTTGGTGTATCATTGATTTGGCCTGTTGTGTTTCATTAACTTGTTGCTGCATTACTTTAACATATGAGGATATTGCAATAGGTTGGTGCTCTATTACATGTGATGTTTTAAAAGGTTCTTCTTGCTTTATTTCATTAGGTGGAATAGACTTAAATGTTTCTGCATTCTGATCCATTTCATCAACAACAACAAATTCTTCATTTTTTAGCTTTTCCAATATATCATCAGTTATAATATTTTCTGGAAGCTTTCCACAATTAATCAAAACTTGTCTATCTTCATCATTATCTACTTCTAAGTCAGTTTCACTTTTATTGCCTGATCCAGTAGGTGAACTCACACTTTCTTCAATTCTGTAATATGTAAAATCTCTTGTGACTATTAAAGTAAACTACTTTTCATTTATACTTAAGAAAATTAAGTTGTTCTAAGTATGGCCAATGTGAACCGCGTAAAGTACCTTTGATTGGGCATAATTCCCTGGACATACGTAGTTCCTTTGTGTATTGCCCGCGCAAATTGATCCATCGTTTTATACAAATTGTTTCTAAAAATTAAATTTTAACTTCTGATAATTTAATTAAAGATTTACTTACTTGTCGATTCCATTTCATCTGCAATCCTCTGCCATATAACATTTTTCGTCTTCAAAGCTTGGTAGTGATTAATACCACTTCGTTTTTTAAATAAAATTGGATACTTTTGAACTAAATTAATTAGTTTATAATCAAATGAACGATTTTTTTTATAATTAGTTCTTGTCGTCATATTTGTTATTGTTTTCGTTTTAGGCTTTGTACTGGCTTCATTTGTTTTGACATTTCAAAATCAGGGATGACTACTGAAAATGCAAAGAACAAGGTGACCAGACTATTGCTTTAAAGCGAATCTACAAATTGTTAAACATTATATATGGTTGGCGAGTAGGTACGCCAATCTATAAAATTTTACCAAGTTTTAATTATGAAACATGTACCTTTTTGAACCAAATTGGCAATAAAATTTTTAGCTGTACAATAAATAGAATATTTACCACAGAATTCAATCTTACCATTCAATAGTTTAATGGTAGAGAGTGTGATAACTTTTTTTTATAAACGGAGGTATCTCAGTATCAAAAAACATTAATTAATAAACATATTAAATAATATATAAGATAGATTCAATAATTTTTTTTGAAGTTCAGTAAAACAACTGATTTTTATTTTGTTATTGTGAAATATTTAACAGAATTTAAATAAAGTTAGATAAGATTTTTGTAGATATTTTTCTTGGAATTTTTTTGATTTTATTTAACACAAACAAAACAAAATATTAATTGACTTCAACAAGCATGTTTAGACATAACTCAGTAAAGGAATCTTAGCGGCTTGTTTAGCTTAATAGGAACTTAACCAATAATTTTATTTTTTTATTCCTATGAAATCACAAAGTTACCGAACTACCTTATCATCAAGTCTCATAATTTTTTCGATATTCGATAAAATATTCTTATGTTGACGTAAAACTTAATAAATGATTATATATAATGGACATAAAAATTTAAATAAATGAAATTTTACTTAAATCAAATTTTTTCTACCTTTTCTTACCAATTTTTATCTTTTATGTAAAAAATCTCCTACTTTCACTGTCAATTTTGCAAATTTACCTTAAAAGAATTAAAAAAGGGCGTTCACAGACGTTTGTCACATTATGACTGTAGTAATTACCGAGTTACAGAACTACGATGAATACACCTAGCGTCTGAATAATCAAATTGTCTTTTAGTTGTTAAGATAAACACAAAAAAGCAAGCTAATTGTTATCATCGAATATAAAGTTTATATAATAAATTTAAGGAATATATAAAAGAATTCTTGAAATATGAGCTTCTGATTAGTGCAGTTTGTTTAAATATTCAAGGAAAGAAGCGATTTAAAGGCTTCATCAATTTTAATAAATCTATTTCGTATATGTAAAATTATATCGAAACTGAATAAAATATATATTAATAATACATTCAAATATGTAATCCAGATCAAGAAATTGTGGACAATCTTCAATAATGAGGTATTTATCTTTAGAATTTTTAAAAAGGGAAGATGCAACTTCTTAAAATTATTTTTTATCTTATGTTTATTGATACTATTAATAATACTAACAATCCATAATATTTTTTTTTTTTGTTCAATTGCAAACCAAATAAAAAAACAAAACCTATTTGTGTTTAGGTGGAGTCTGGCTTTCGTTATAGGTCCTTTCGTTATAGGTAATGTGTTAACATCATTATTCGATAACAATAAGAAGAACACAATATATCTGTTCCACGAGCTACTCGTACTAAAACTCAAGGTAAACACAAGTAAAGTACAAAATGAGAGCGTAACACAAATAAAGTGCCAAATTACGCTCTTTACAAAGATCCTCATGGAACAGCTTTGTTTAGTCTGGTGAGAACACCAGTACCGCGCAAATAAACAATACAAAAATTTAAATTGAAACTAAAACAGCTGATTCACATATCGACGCAAATTTTACTTGAAATAAAATGTACGAGTAAAGTCTGTGTAGAATTTTAAAATTTTGGCAGTTTATGTTACGCTCTCAGATTATCGCATTTACTCGAAAATTTGTTGGTGGGACACACTTGTATATACACAGTGTTATTCAAAGCTACTACGAGTACAGACCTAATATGTGGTTAGTCCTGTCTATCATCGACGATTTTAAAATCAAACAAGTATATTCTTTTTTTTCATAAATTTTTAATTACAATCTTTATTTTATATTAATAGAATGTTGCTATATTATTTTATTTAAATATTGTTTTAGATATTGTGTCTGACTGTGTATATTTAATGCTGTACTTTTTTTTGTGTTTAAATCTGTTTATAATTTTTAAAATTTTCACAGTTCACAACCTTTACAAAATTGAAATTTGAAGATTATTGTTAAATAAAAAACTTAATCAAAATAAGAGTAATGTTTTTTGAGTATTTATAGTTTTCTTAACAAGTAGATTTGCGCAAATATTTGCATTTAAAATATTAAGAAGAAATAGTTGAAATTTTATTTGAGAATTCATATCCATATTTCTATTCAACTAAACATAAGTGTTTAAATATTTTTATGTTTTATTGAAAATAATAATTATATATAAAAAATTATTTCGCGGGCTGTGATTGTTACATTTGCTTTCATTTAATCTTTTGCTTTGTGTATGTTGATTTAATTTATTTCTTATCTTGTAATTTTTGTTTAAAAAATTTTATTTTAATTTTTAATACTTTTATATATACGTATGTATATATATATATATAATTCAGCGCTTGTGTTTGTTTCAGTATTACAATTAATCTCTTAGGAAGAAAAAAATAACTGCTACATTTTTTTTTATAATTTTAAAATTTTTTATATATTTTTAAACAGAAAATTTTTTTGCGAAATAGCAGATTTAAGTTAAACTCACATTTTATACATAAGCTTTAATGCTTGTAATTTGTTAAAACTTTAAATTTAAAAATAGGTTCTATTATTACTATATATCTTTAATAAATTTACTTTTAAGGATTCATGAGGGGAGAAGGGGATGTGGCCATTTAAAAAAATAAAATGGACACAACATACAATTTGGCACATTTTTATTATTTGTTAGCTTTCATAACTATTTAATCATTTTACAAGTACATAATATATGATTTACTGATATAATTTTATTTTAAAAGTTGCACATTTTCACTACAAAATATTTTTCACACTTTTTTGTTTTAATTATACAACTAGTTTTTAAGCTTACAATATTTTGACTATACTTATTTTTATACTACATTGTAATTATTTTGAAAAGTTAAAAAAAAATATGCTTTGTTTTTGTTTTTAGCTGCGGTGAGTAGAAGTTTAAAGACATATTTTTGAATGAAATAGACAATTTTTTATTAAGCGATATTTTTTTTAAAAGTAATACATGTAACTTTGATAAATCGAACAGAATTTTATTTTGAATTTTTCTTGACATTTTCGTGAGGGATAGATACTTCCAGTTTAATAATATTGTCTTAATTTGTTGACTGCTTTTAATAAAATTTATTTGTGTGAAAAAAAAACATCATATATGAAATTTTTAAGAATATAAATTAATCTCTAAATTTTAATTTAATTATTATTATGAAAATATCTACTGTTTCTTTTAATATTATTATGGAATCAAGAGAAAAGTGTTTAAAGATTATAAATTTATCTCACCACTTCTTACTGAATTTTTATATATTAATATATAAAAACTTAGGTAAAAATTTAATATCATTAAAATTTATTCGAAATTAATTAAGTTATTATTAAAGTATTTAAGTTTAGTTTTTTTAAATTTTGAATAAGTTTTTATTAAATACTGTGATTTATTTAATAGTTTCATAAATTGTAGAATTTTTCATATTTCAAAAATGTAATTTGAAATATTTAAAGAGCAAAGTTCAAAAAAATTTTTTTTTTCAAATTACAAACAATTTAAATGAAGAAAAAATAAATAAATAAAGTATTGAAACCACACAATCGAAATATATTTTTAAAATTTTTTATAAGGTTCTCTATTTAATTAAAAAAAAAAGACAATATTTTAAACTGGAATATAAAAATTTGGACGGCCAGATAGAAATTAAGTGATTGAAAAATATTTAATATACAATACTACTATAGTTTAAAGTTAATTATTAATATAATTTTTATATTTCTGGAAAACTGCATAAATTTTAAAAAATTTATATTTATTATAATTTTAGTTTTTTATATTTTTTACGCTTTACATATCAACATTGAGATTCTGCACACAATTCAAAATTCAATTACCGTTTTTCTTCACAAACTATTTTTGTTTTTATAAACATTAATTATTTTTTTATTTTTTTCTTTTAAAGACTATATACGTAATTTGGCAATTGATGGGTTTTATTTCATTTTATTTTATTTATTGATATTACATATAACTTAACGATTAAAAAATTAAAGCGCACACTAACACTAAATGTTGTCAATTAAAATTAAAAATATTTTTTATCATATCAATTGTTAAATTTATAACATAAAAATAATTTTAAAAATAACTTTGGCTTTAATTGTAAAAAAGTAAAAACTTATATATAAAAAAAAATTTGTTCTTGATTTTAATGAATTAATTAGTCTGTATTTAATTTATTTTTATTAACTCATGATTTTTAACATTTTTTTAATATGATAATAGTTTTTTAAATAAGGAAATTTTAATATTGTAGTAAGTTTTTTTATCTAGAAAAACTTAAATACATTTAGAGAGATTTTTTTTTTAAATTTAAAAGGAGATTAAATTTGTTTTTAAAATTTGAGCAATGTTACAATAGTTGTTGTAGTTTGCATTTGACAAAAAAAATAAATTCTTAAAATAATCGAATTGATTAATATTTATATACATTTTTCAAGTAATAATTTTATTCATATAATATATAAAATTGAGCATTGTAATATGTTTAAATATATATATTAATACTTGTATATATATATATATATATATATTTATATACATATATAAATTTTAAAGTCAAATTTAAAACAAACTGATTTGTTTTTATATGTACGAACAATTATTAAATGATTACAAATAAAAACATATTTTAATGAATAAAGCTGAATGAATATATTAACCAATTAAAAATATGTATTTTATAATTTATTTTTACATAGATCTCATGTAAGTAGACAATCTCATATTTTAAAGTTTTGATGTTTGTATAATAACAACAATTTATATATATATATATATGTTTATGAAAAATTGTGCATGTTTTTAAAAATTATATTTTTTTAGCAATTAATAATTTCTTTTATAATTTTTTTTGTATATTTCGAGATATACGAAAAAATAAATATATAAAATGGAAAAGTGTATTTTTTTTAAAAAGTGTGTTTATAAATATTCCTATGTACGTACAAATTTTTTCTTTTATAGCTAACTTATATTTTTTAATTTTACATTTACTACAACTATAATTTCTCAAAATACATTGGAAGCTTGGCTAAAACTAGTTTTTGGGTTTTATTTTTTTTTTAATTTTATTTTACTTAACTCTTGGATTATATAGAAATAAAATTATTGTATATATCAAGGATATGTCTACGTGTTGATCTTTATATTTGTAATTTTTTCTTTAAATGTATATTAAATAACTAATCTCAATTTTATTTACTAATATTCGCCTCTTATTTGTTTCAAAACGCTTTGCAAATTAGCTGCCAAATGTTTTTATTGAAAAAAATGTTTAAACAATTAACTTATTTTTAAATAAAAATTATTTTTAAAAAGAGAGTCAAATACAAATCTTTGAAATAAATTTTGAGTAAAAATATTATATGTCATGTTATTCAATATATGTTCTTATTGAAACGAACAAGAACTTCTTATCAATATCTTTAATAAAGTATTTATTTTATAAAATTTTTTGAAAGATGAAAAGTTATCCAATTAAAATTTTTAAATAAAAAATATATATTTAAGAAATTATGAATTATGAAAAGTATTTGATTATGAAAATAAAAGTAATTAAAGTTCCTGATTGCTGTAAACTATGATTTCGAATCATTTTCGTAAGAATACAACTATATATATTGTAATCATCTAAATCATACTATTTATGATTGAAATGATATAAAGTACATATATTTATATGTTTCATAATATTATCATAATTAATTTACGAATACAAACATATATGCATAATTGTGATGTTTTAAATCATATGCAAAATATTTTATTTATAAGCAAATTTTTATTTATTGAAATGACGTAAATGAAAATTATTCGATCTTATACAATTTGAATATTTTAACATAAAATATATGTTCTATGTAATGAATAGTGATGTATGTACTGAATTGTAAATAATATAAAAGTAATGACAAAACAAAAAAAAAATTCATAAGCATATTATGAATTTATATGATATGAATTTTTATACAATTGTATAATTTATAACATAAATATTTTTAAATATAAAGTATATATATATATTATATATACATATATGTTAATTAGCAAGAAACATACATTTAAAACTGTACGCTCCTTAACTGAAAAAAATAAAAATAATTTGTTTATTTTTACTTAAAATAAAAAAAAAAATAAACAAAAAATGTTGAAACAAAATTGATTGAGATTTTCGAATTTTAAAAAATAATATAAAAATCAATTTGAAATGTTAGATTTAAGGAAAACTCTAATAAATTAACGTGATGAAAAATATTTTAACGACGTATAATTAACTACTGATTTGTTTATATACGCAAAAAATTAGCAATTTTATTTTACAAATTGCTTTTGGTATTTCTACTTTGTAATTTTGTTTATATATTTTCCATTTTATTGCTAAATTTTATTTCTAATTTAATTTTTTTTGTTGCTGGACGACATTAAATTGAACATCTACGCTTTAAATTGTTTTCTTTTATAAGAAAATTGTAAGTTTCTAATCAAAGTTTTGAATTTGATTTAATCTCATCGTTTCATTCACAATTTTGAGTATTTGAAGTTGAAGTTGTTCGTTAACTTGTTGAAGAATTACAGGATTCGTCTTTCACATTGAGCAAATATGCAAGAGCAGAGTATTAGTAACAGGTTACTTGTTGTTGTCTTAATAATAATGATGATTTTGTTCAACTGTTTTTGATTTATTATATTAAATGACTCGAGTAACAAGTTAATATGGCGTAAATCTGTTGAAACCACCTCGGTACATTGTAGCCTAATAATAAAAAAATAAAATGTATGATTAGTAAATACAAGTTAATTTATTCTTTAATATTATTGATTATTAACTTACCCCATAACCAGGTACTGGTCCAATGCCGTGTCCGAGATATGGGTCCGCATATTCTCTTGCATAACTATAAGATTGGATTGATATTTTAAAATAAATTTCTCTATTGCTAATTATTCTATAATTTACAAAATCTAATATTGTTTCAAATAATTACTGGATTAGTACATTACTGTCAATTGGATTAATTTGTAATTAGAAATGTGCTCAGGATGAATGAAGTGGTTTTAAAAGTTTCTACGATGTTTACAAAAATGAAAAGTTGTTAAGTTGTTAGATTATTTGGGTTTAGATTGCAACTCGTTTAATTTTGAGAGATGAACATAAAGGCTCTTTAGCGCGATTTGAATGCTTTTATAAGTTTCATGATCTTTTTCTGTGATTGTTTGTAAGCAATTTCTGAGAAAATAAAAAAATAAATTTAAGTACATGATCTGAAATAAAAATTTCTTAAAAAAAATAGTAAAAGATAATAACTTAATAATTTATAAAAATAATTAAAAATAACAATATATAAAATCACGTATAAAAACAAGAGATGCGTTTTTGATATACAAATATTTGATGGGTTGTTAAATACGTCAATACTGTTTAGGTTTGCTGCATAACTTTTAACTGTGAGATTGACAAATAGATTGGAGCGATTGGAACAAATGCAATAAGCAAAAAATTTGCATATGAATTACAAGTATACTCCTGACCGATACTATTAAAATAGTATTATAAATGAAATATCAATAACTTTAAAGGCTGTATATGACAGGCATAAGAAAGATATGTACTGCTACTATTCACAATAGTTCTATGTACTATGTATAATACTTAATATTTTACGAAATCTATTGAATAAAGTTTCAGATTGTAGTAGTATTGAGAAAAGAATTAAAGCATACCAGGTAAGATAGTCATAGCGTTTACTTTTCTGTTCCAAGTAGAGCGTAAGTGTCATTTTGTTGATCACGGTGAAAATGTGAAAAAAATCAGTACTTGTTAATAAAGGAATTATAGGTTGCTAAAGATATATAAATATCAGTTGGATGGGGTACGAAAGACGGTAAAATTTGTACCGAAAATTTTAATCTTATCCAACACAACATTACTGCAATGCTGAAAAAGAGTAATTCTCAAGAGAAGCCATCAAATTTTTTTTATTTCTGAAACTCAATAATATAGGAAATAAAGATGACATAGAATCAGTTTAAAAACGTAATTAAAGAAGGATTCCAACAATGTTACTTAACTTTTTTCAAAAACTCGAATTTCTTATTTTGATTAAATATCAATTAGATTTTGTTTAATTATCTAATTATACAAATAGTTTATCAAAATCAATAACAGAAGTATATGGATTGCTATTCAAATATTGTATAAATGTTTATATATTAGCCAACGAAGAAAATGGATTTCTGAAAGTATTTTTTGCTTTTAAAAGGTTGTTACTGAGAAATATTATTAAAAGTTAAAAAGGTCCACATCAGTTGTTGTAACAATAACAATATATATTAAAATTAATAATAATAATTATAATAATAATAATAATTAAAAATATTAATAATAATTAAAAATATTAATAATAATTAAAAATAATAATAATAATTAAAAATAATAATATTAATTAAAAATAATAATAATAATTAAAAAAAGTGATAACAATTATTAATAATATTAATAATTAAAAATAATAATAATAATTAAAATAATAATAATAATTAAAAATAATAATAATATCTAAAAATAATAATAATATCTAAAAATAATAATAATTAAAAGTAATAATAATATCTAAAAATAATAATAATAACTAAAAATAATAATAATATCTAAAAATAATAATAATATCTAAAAATAATATTAATATTTAAAAATAATAATAATAAAAGTTAAAAACAATAATAATAAAAAAAGTTGAAAACAATAATAATAATTAAACATAATTAATTAAATATAATAATAAAAAAAATATTGTAATCAGAATTTAAAAGAAAAGTATTGTAGTATAGCAAATTAATTATATTAATTCCTTTTTCTATCATCAACACAGTGATAAATATTATAATTTATAGGAAGTAAATTATATAGGAAGTAAATTATATAGGGAGTAAAAGTGATTTTCTTCTTCTATAATGAAAACTAGTATCTTTTTCTAGTATTGTTTATGATTGTGCATGTCTTTGATCAAGTTATAAGTAAAATCTAATAATAAAATTTGAACTTCTTATCAGATTATTTTATTTATTTCTAATTTAATTTTTTTTCTTTCTGATATCTGCTCATGTTTTCTATTAGTGCATTTAAGTATGGAGTATTATAATACAAAAGCAATTAGACTACATACGAGTTCGAACACTTGGATCGAAGTCGTAAGTATTCAAAAATTTTCGAACTGTTCAAAGTTCGAATAGAACTGCTATTTTGGTTTTGTTCTATAAGTGTAACAGTGAATACTCGAAAACCAAATGATGTTCGAACATTTTGGATACATTTTCTCGGACATAATAGCTCAAACAATATTTAAAGCTTTAATTTTCAGTTAAAAAAAAATTACACAAATATAATTAATTTTAAATGTAAGAAAGGGTCGAATAGCAAAGAAAAGACAATAACAAAAATATAATTAATTTATTGAAATTTGGCTGACCATACAACGCTGTTTTGAATATTGTCAAGTACTCATCATGCACTCGTGCCTGTCAAATTAAAAGCGATGATTAATCGTGTTTTTCCACAAATAGCCAAGTTCTGCACAAACTTTCAATGCTTAAGTTCCAAGTTTTGATGATGAGTATTTGTTTAAAAAAAATAGCTTTTTTGTCGTCATAATAAGTATAGTATCTTGTCTTTATTAAGATCGATTGTTAATAAATATAATTTGTACGCGTACATAATAACCTAGGTAAAAATTGCAACCTAAACTTAAAAATAGATCTGAAAGATTAGGTTAAACAAAGATTAAACTACATATTATACTACGATTAATATAAGAATAATATGTACTCTACAGTTAAAACTAAAAAATGGTTAGTAGAATCAATTTGTTTAATTTGAAATATATTTTGTGGTTGTTTGACATATATTAATAATTATGTTAAAGTTAAAAATGTAAGTAGTACAGTAATCCTCCCTATAACGCGTTTTCAATCACGGGCATTTCCCATATAACGCGGGGATTTATACAGTTCATAATTAGCTTCGCATACCTTTGCACGTGTGTATATGGAATATACGGGAGTAGCTTTATAACGCGTCTACTTATACCAATCTACCGCTTTATAGAGGGGATTACAGTATTTAGTTATTACTAAAAGTACATTTTTACAATAAATAAATAAAACAACTAAATTACTAAAAAAAATACTTTTACATGATTATTTACAAATAAGTGTAGATACATAAGGTACTGTTTTAGCTATTATGTGAATTAATCTTTACTTACCCCGCGACTGTGGCATATCCGGCCAATGTAGGTTGAGCTGCTGCTGCAGCAGCTGCACCATAAGCCGCTCTAGCGGCTACTGCTGTATATGTGGTAGCAGCGGTTGCGTATGCTGCTTGCTGAGCTTGTGACAAAGGCGTCTTTAGCAGTGGAGCTGTGGCCTGGAATAAATTTTGAACATTGCAATTAAAAATTTGAAATTCATTTGTAATAAAAAAAATATACAATAAACTACGGGTAATAGGGAAGTATAGTAAACAGCCTGAGTTTGTTTTGTACTACAATATTACAGACTCGAAAGCTGATATTTGTGTAAGTGGGGATGGTGTGTTCTGTGGGTGCTGATGGTGATTAAAGAATTAACTACAATTAACATTTAATGACTTTTAACAATTGTAAACATAAAACTAAGGTGGGATAATGCTACCAAATTTTTCAAATTCCAGCCAACATACATGTATCGTTTATTTATGTTATAAAAAATAATTGAAAGCTGTGACTTTGTGTGGAAAATTTTAAGTAATTTCATAAAAGCATGCAAAAAAAAGGAAATTTACAAATTTATGTAAATATATATTTACACACTTAAATATATTAAATATATTATTAAATACATCAAAGCTTAATTACAAAAGTTAAATAGTTTACATTAGTCAAATAGAAAAGTTGAGAGCAATATTTTCAGGATGCAAAAAACAATTCAACGAACACAACAAAATTTTATTAATTACAAGTTTATATATTTAAAAAAAAACAACAATAAACGGTCAATAATTCATTAGAGTTGTTTTTTTTTTTGTTAATTAATTTTTTTGTTTTGAATTTTTGATTTTTTACCAAAACATTTTGTGGTACCGGGATGCGGTTGATCGTATGAGGTGAACTGTTGTGAAGCGTTGTCACAGTGCGGCGCTGTAAGGTTTTTAATTAATTGTAAATTACACATACAATGTTTGTTTTTTGTTGTAATTGTTGTTGTAGATAAGGTAGTAAATTGCATATAATAATATAAATTATACTACATAAAGATTATTTACGAATTTCAACGAAAAAAATTAATTATAAAATTAAACATAATAAGCCGGATATATGAAACAATGCGAAAAGTATAAAATTAAATTCAGCAGTTTAAAATATTAAAAGATGTATAATAAAAACATATTGAAATGGACTTAACTATAAGTTATATAAAAAGTAAGTTAAGGTCTTATCACATGCAACAATAAAAAAAATTTATAAAGGCAAGATTTTTACGTTTTTCTACAAGTACTTTTTAGTATGGTAAAAATATTATTAATTTTTTTTAAAGTTATTTTCTTTATGTATTTGATGTAACAATATAGTAAAATACATTTATTTTCACCATTAAATAAAATAATTCAAAGAAAATGAAGAATTCAATGTAATAAATAAAGATAACAACTGCGAAGTTGTTAGACATAAACAGATTTAAAAGCAACCACTTAAAAAATCAAAAAAAAAACATTTTATAGTATCCTGATCCAACCCTAACAACAGCTTCATGATTATTAAATGCTTATTTATTATTATTAAAAATAGTGATTTTATTATCCGATATTTTATTTATGTGATATACTATATTACAAAAATACTGCAGTAAAAAAAAATATAGTTTAACCATATTTTTTGGTTCCGAAATATTTTATGGGATAGGCAAACCTTATATGACATAATAATTTAAAATGAGTAATGTGCTCCATTCATTCATCAAAACTAAAATTCTTTTATCACATAATCATATAGATACTCTAAATTTTAAACCATTAATAACTTTTATCAAAATTTAAAAAGATTGAATTGCACATTGCAAACTGAATAAACATTACTTAATAAAGGCGTGTTCAAAAGAAAATATTACCGATTTTTTAAATTGCCGACAACAACGCGTCTATATTTGCTAACTAAATAAACTCTTGACTTTTATTTCTAAATATTTTTCTTCATACTTGCTAGTATCGAAAGTAACACTGACCCTGACAAATGGCGAGATTTCGTCAAAAAAATAGTTGGAGTATCGGTTTGTTTTCTTTCGTTCCTAAATGATATGACGAAAACATTTTATTTAATTAATGGGTAATTACATATAGCAAATAAATATTCTAGAAGGCAACGAAAGCCATACTCAAATATTTTATTACAGAATCATATGAGATTCCGATTTCATTGGCGGCGTGAGTTGATAACGGATTTTAGTGAATTCCAATAATCTGATTAATATCATTTACAACGCCATTAGCCATTTATTAATTTTTAATGTACCAGGGTTTAAAGCATATAGCCAAGTGGATAAAATTACTTGAAATATTAAATTAACCAAAATTGTTCATTGCGGCTTCTGAGGAAATTCAAATCGTATCCAGAATATAATATAGGTATTAACATTAATTCTCTAGCTATACTAGTACTATAAAAGTTATGCCTTGCATTGCCTTTATAGATACTCACTTTTAAAGAGACTGTGCTAATTAAGTAAAAGGGTAAGTTACATTTTCTTCTACAGTTCATCCAAATTCTTAAGTTCTTAGAATGTTGACTTATTAACACTAGAGAAGACTCATCAGTTAGTATTGCAACCTGAAAAATGTACTGTTTAGTGCAGTGGTTCCCAACTGGTATAGTGTATAATGAATTGCATAAATGCATAGAATGTACCTATGCCCTTTTATTTTTAAAGGCTATAAAATAGGTATATAACTACTTGAAAATTTTTTTGTGCTTATTTTTTTACAAGTGAGGTAGGTCTCAACGGACACACTACAAATTATGTATCCATATCTGTTAAATTTGATTCACGACCACTAAATTATCGGTTGGGAACCACTAACTTAGTGGTTTTTATATCAATATATTTCGACAATACTTGTTCAAGATTAAGGAAATCGAAATAATATTGTCAACGCCGTTCCGAACACCTACAGAAATTGAGTTGTAGCGTAGTCACCTATATTCTGAGATTTATCATTGGTAAAGCATTTTTTTCTAAAATTATTTATTTTTTTTTGTCAATGCGGACAAGTCAATAACAACTTCAGACCGTTCATACGTAAACTTTAAATATTCAAAAGGATTATGTAAAATCATTATTTTTTAATAATGTCTGAAAATTGTATATCAAATGAAAAAAAAATACTTTTTTGTTAAAACCTTTTGTTTCAAATTGAAATTCTGTACCTCTTAAAAACACCCTATATTAAGGAAAAATGTCATAAAATTACAATACATATTGTATATAATAAAGAAATTTTTTCTAAGCTTCTCGCATGAATAATTTAATTACAACCTTTGAAGTAGGGTCAATTCAAGTGGATTAGCTGAAATTTAAACACGTTTCTTTATTTTATGTGTATTTACGAAATAAATAATATATAACATTATATACATATATGCACATATATATAAAGAGAAATATACCAATCGATGCCTAATTTTAATCAGTAACAATTTTTTTATTAGGGTTGGATTTATACTTTAAGGGGTACTACTTTGAATATTAAAAGGCAGTCGAAACAATTTTTTTTTGAGGGGTTAAATATGACCTTTCATTTATTATATTTATTTTATTTTTTGTTTCATCTGTAATAATAAGGGCAAAAAAAATTTTTAAATTATTTACTTGATGTATGTATTAAATCAATTGAAAACAATTTGTTGCTAAATCATTGAATCATCGAATTATGTATATAATATACATACAAGAATAAAGTACGAGTATAGAAAAGTTTTGGACTTTTAATAAATACATTTCTCCGGCCATTCTTCTATATTTTTTTTATCTTAAACTCAAGCTTTTTTTTTAGTTTTAAAGATGATATATACAAGAACGAATTGATAACGTTAAATAAATATTTATCTATTAATAGATATGTTCCAGTTACCGATTTTAATACTTCAAGCACAAATAAATTTTAAAGTTATAATTATAATTTAAACTGTAATTATAAGCTGGTTTAGTGAAAATAAAAAAAATCTATTTTAAGAGATAAATTTAAATAAAAATAATAAGTATTGTATGGGGTCAAAAAATAATTAGGGATTCTACTTCTGCTGATTTAAGTCGACATATCTATTGTGATACCATAATGTCCTCATTCAGTGAGGCGTCCCTTGTTAGTAAAACAGAGTTGAGTTTGTTAGCAAGTTACCTAACGAATATCAATTATTTTACTAACTGAATAAGATGAGCTAAGAAGAGAGAATGCTGGTTCTGCAGAGAAGCGGATGAGACCTTTAGTTACTTTCTTTATGTCTGTTGTACTTTGGCATTGGCAGGAACATACTAATGAACCGAGAGCTCCTATCTCCATCTGATATTAGGATAATAATATTATTAGATTTTTGTTGTAAGAATTGGGCTTATCGTCGGGATACTTATTCGTCGGAATTCAATATCGGTTTTATTTAATGTTATCTTTTTGTCTTGTGCCATCGCTAACACTTAAAAATATAATTGCAAACATATTAATTAATCCTTAATTAATTAAAATACGACTGTATTGCCTTTTTTAAATATTATTTTATACTGAAATTTTTTTTTGATATTTATTCTATAGTCATTTTCGGGAAACTGTGACATAGTCGAAATTTTGGTGTAATTTTAATTTAAAAAAATACTAAATAAAATTTAATTATTCAGTTGTGATTAATTTAAACGATATATATAAGGGTCCCTCTGTGGGGTTACAATATTTCCGCGCTGGAGCGTTGGAGGATTTGGTTTAAAAGGTCACAAAAACCCTAAGAAGCTCCAAACTGAGCTGAGTAGACGCCGGCTCTAAGTAAGCGTCCACCATCTCGGGATGGCAGCGAAGGAGATTCAAGTGCGCAGAGCGTGGTTTAACCATCGAGGAATACAGGCGAGTGCACTGTCCTAAGAGAAGGTAGTTGAACTAACATTGGAGTCCTTTCGTGCTTTACGTCAACGCTATGTTAGGCATGAAAAATGCATACCAAGACAGGCATAATGACGTTGAATTCAAGGTTCAAACACCCATAAAGAACGAGCCCAATAAAACACTGATTATGGCATACTGGACGCGTATGATGATAATTACGATTTCCGGGCTGGCGAATGTAGTATTCTGTTACCTGAGTATATGAGAGTGACATCTCATAGGAATGGCTTTCATGTAAATGCTATATTTTCTTCCGGACATTTATAACTTGACAAGTTTACAAGTACGTTCGATGTATCGTCACCGTTAAATTGGTGATATAGATTCAGTGATATTTAAAACACCCTGAGACAGATTGAGCACGGTAACATAGTACAGTGTTAACAACTATGAAAATACAATTGTGGTGGTATGTTTTAAGATCATTTTAAAAATTATAAAAATTCGGGTCTCAGATTCGGGTTTACAGTATTTACTCATCAACTTAATAGTTTATTTGTAAATTTTATAAAATGTTTTTCGATACTACATGGAAACTAACATATTTCTGCAATCAGTTATAAAAATTGATAATTTCGGTAATTTTTTTTTTGATTTTAGTGTTAATATGTAAAGAATTTGTTAAAATGATTACTTTAAGTACAAAAACGGTTTTACACATATTCATTATGCAGCAAAATTAATTGTCGATTCTCATTCAAATAATTTCAGTTCCAAACAAAAAAAAAAGCTACACTATTTTTTCCATAGTTTATAGTTTATGAAAAATCAGTTGAATTGATGTTATTGGGTATTTATTGAATTGAAAAAAAAAAAAATAAAAAATAAAAAAAAAAGATTGATTACAGAGATAAAAAAAAAATTACGATTAAAAGTGCAAAAAGTGACCATTGCAATAATAATAAAATTATATTAACAAAAAATTAAATGTATGATGAAAATGAGTTGTGAAAATTTACATATAAAGGGTGAAAAAATTTACACAATTTAAATTGAAATTGAAATGTTTAACAAAAAAAAAATTCTTTAAATAAACATCTAAAACGAGAAACCCATGAAAAAAATTATACATATTGTATTAAAAACCTTAATCCTTTAGTAGTATTGAAAACAAAATATTAAATAACAAAAATTAGCCGTGGGTGAAAATTCCTTAAATTTATTTTGTAAATTTAAAAAGGGTGTAAAAAAATTATGGTTAATAAGGAAACAAAAAATATTGCGTAAAAAATGTGACTGAATTTAAATACGGAACGGTTCATTACATTTAAAATAGCTGCTGGCTGTGCTGCTGGAACTTCAGTGACCGGTTTGGCTGCCTGTAAAATTATATTTGTATGATTTTCTATCTTAATGCAATAATAAGGAACTAATAAAAAAAATTAAATACGTTGTATAATTTGTAGAGATACTTTATATACTATATATATCATATTTTAATATTTATAAGTTAACAAAATTTTTGCAATATATATAAAAAGTGATAATTACATATTTTATATATAAAATTTCTTACCTGGAAGCGTAGATTGGGATCAGCCGTAGCTGCAGCGGCTGCTAAGAAAGGATCGTAGTAAACACTGCGAATGTAAGAGAGAATAAAAATAAAGATATAAATTAATATATGAATTCTAACATTTGTTATTTTTATTTCATATATATATTATTAATACTTAAAAGCAAAATTCAATTTTCGTTAACAGTAATATGATAACTGTTTTTATATTCATAAGTTTTGTCTTTTTTATATTTAAATGAATAAATCATTTAAATTGAAACCCTAATAAATACAATATTCCTTCCAAAAAATTTGACATTCATACAAAGTCCTGCAAAAAATCCTACAACTATAGTCACTTACTTAACCTTACCTAAACTATTAACTTCATATTCATATTAAAAATTGATATTTGCATTTTATTTTGATACTATAGCTGATTGATCAGAAACAAATATTAAAATATTTGTCGTATTTATACGACAAATAACTCGAAGAGCTAAGTGTTTTACATAAAATAAATATTTTGGTTTTAAGTACTACATTTAGGCATAAGAGGAGTATTTATGGAAAACAAGTTTATTTTTATAAAATAAAAATTTTATTTATTTAGTTTTTTCTGTGTAAACACTAAAATTAATTTTAAAATTAACTAAGAATAAGAAACTGGCAACTAGGTCGATTCGCCCTAAAAAAAATAATTTTAATAATTAGTAAAAGTACGGTATGGTAAGTTCTCCTTTTAATTTAATCGTTTTTTTTTTAAATTTTCGAATAATGGATCACAACACATTAATCGACGCAACCATTGCTTTCACTATTAAAGAGAACATGGTATACTGAGAATTGTGAGAACTGTTGTATTACCTCTGTCGAGGGTCTCCTAAGCCGAATATGATTAGGATTAACCTAACAATATCTCTTGATTCAAAAAGCTAGACCTTATCGGGTTCTATAAAAGCCCATTTGAGCTGTTTTTTGAAATTAAAAATATTATAAAAAAATATTAAAAATAGAAATATAGTATTCAGATTCAGATATAGTATTCGATAAAGAAATTTAATTTCGATAAAGGATTTTAAAATTGGTAGCAAATATTGTTTTAAAATATTCAATTGATCAGGAAAGACCTTTGTAATACGCAGGGTATTCGAAAAGTTTTGCGCCCGATTATGAAACCGATTAATAATAAAACTGAAAACTGAAAGAGTACAGTACATTTAGTACATTGATAAAGCTAAAAATTTTCGAAAAAAGTATGTGATCCTGGATGATACTTTTTTGAGAAAACGGAATTTTCCGATTTATTTCTTTGAATAGAGCCATGTAACAACATTGCTCGACAAATTTAATATTGTAATTACCGAAACATATTCTTAGTTTAGTTCCATCAACCGCTCACTTTTCGATAATAGTCACATCATAAAATGTATAGATTAAAGTTAAAGTTTGTTTTAGAGGGCAAAAATTCTATTCAAATGAATACTTGATATTCGAAATCAATGCATGTTGTCAAGATCTTAATGCAAAGTACAATTGAAAGTTTGAAAAAGTTGGGACATCATTCGGAAAGCGTTTTTTTTTATTAAATCAGTATGATGTGTTAGCTATGTTATATATTGAACTAATATGTCTTATTAATGTGTTAGTTTAAAATAAGTAATTAATTTCGCCTACCTTAAAGAAAATTTCGTCCAAAATTGTTCAAAAAACATATTTACTTTCTGTCGGAGAAATACCATTAACGACTTTGTTAAGATTGCTATATTGTATTTAAGACAAGATTCTGATATCTCATGGACTCCCATCCAATAAGAGATTTTAATAAGTTCAACTGTTTTGAACAATTTTTCTACTGTGCTATATATCGTATTATATATAGCGTATATATACAAAAAGTGTATATATATAGTTAGTTTTTGCGATATTCGGATATACAAAATATTGTCAAAATTAATTTAAATAATTTATCACTATAAAATTGTTTTTTCTTCCTATTACAAACGACCTTTTAAGATTTGTTTGGTAAATGTCATATCTCAATTAGTGACGGAGCTAGACCAACTTTGGACGTTGGCGATTTCTGAATTGCGAAGCACCTTTTATTACCGAGCTTTAAAAAAGTAAATAATTTACATTCACTAATACGACGAAGCATGTATGAAAGTTTTATTGGTAATCAAATTAAAATAAATGAAGTGTCCTACTTATAGCCTCACTATATTTTTTTAAAATTATATCAATCTGTACCAGCTGCTATTTTTGGCTTGCCTTACTTCTCAATTAGGTCTTAAAAAATTTTAACTTTGAGAAGTTTCTTTCAGTAGAAGCTGTACTGCGTGGAACTGTGAGCATGATTCTGGTTACTATAAAAACATTTGAATATACTTCCTTTAAATTATTTTTTTCAATATATTAGACGAGTTGTTTTATATCGTTGATTGAGTCTAGTGAGAGTTCGATTTTAAAAGCATCAGTTCCTCATACAGTTCAATAGGCCGAATTATACCTAAAACATTACAATGCTTGAGAAGGTTTTCGTTTGGTATACTTTTCATATGATTAATGTCATATATCAAATCAAATTGTTTAAAATATTTGCGAGGGCCCTGTAGGCGCGAGGCCGTCGGCGGTCATCAACGTCGCTAACGCCTAACGCTACCACTGATCTCAATATATACAATTAACTATGTTTTGTTGATTATTTCAATAATTACAACGTTTCATCTATACATATTTAAGTAAAACACTTAACTCTTGGCTTAAATTTTGTTAAGATATAATTTAATTACTTTATATAATATTTAAATTGAAGACATTTTTATTATTACTCTAATTCTATTCTGTTTTAATGACACATATTTCATTTAAATGATTGAAACGCGTTATTGACTACGATTTAGTGAGTTTTTCAAATAAGTCGGTGGTAATATATGAAATCTTTTTACCAATACCATTATTTAGATTTGAAGCGTGATAAATTAATTTTCTACACTGAAGTTTTTAAACATGCGCCTATAAAAAGACCAAAATATCTTGAATCCAGTCAAAATTAAGTGAATCATGCAGTCAAATCACCACAGGCGTTGGTTGTTGGTACCAGATGCACTTTAAGTACACTTTAACTTAAGTGCTCAGCTAAGCATTAAGTATAAACGTCATTTAAATGTATTTACTAATTCGAAACCAATCAATCAGACATTCCAACATATAATCAATCACTAGCAGATTACGTGCGTCGCTTAATAGCTTAATATTTACACTGAAAAACTCTAGTAGTTAAATATGCAAAAATATTTTGGCATTAATTTTTTAAATCGATTGAACGCAAAACATTTTCTACAAAACAAAAGCTTCAACAACTTTTTCTGTAAATTACAAAAAATAAAAACACAAAAAAAAAACAAACAAATTAATTATCCTTTGAGCGCTTGCAAATGGTATTTACATGAAACGCCCACTCACTATCAAACATGCTTTAAATAATAAATCTATATAACTCTTATACATTGTATATATTATATATTGTATTATCACAAACTAAAATTAAATAAAATAAAAAATTGTATTTTTGTTTTTGTAATTGCATTCTAAATTTAATATATTTTAATATATAAGAAACTAACTAAGTGACTACTTTAGCACTAAACACAAAAATACTAAATTGATACAAGTCTACTTACGGTGCATATCCATGCAAAGCGGTACCGGCTGCAACAGCAGCTGCATTTGCCGGTGCGAGGCGTGCAGCATATGCAGCACCGGCAGCCGCAGCTGTTGATGCTGCATTTGGTGCATTCGCGGCGGACTGTGCTAGTGTTTGCAATTGTTGCTGTGCAGTTGGTTGTATGGCACCGGTGGCAGTTGGCTGCACCTGCTGAACCTGCAGAGCCTGCTGCAGACCAATCTGATGTTGCTGATGTTGCGCTTGAACTTGAGCTTGAGCTGCTGCAACGGCTGCAGCGTGACGCTGTTGTTGCTGCTGAGCGACGGCAGCAGCTGCTGCAAGTGCTGGATTGAAGGGGCCAGCGGCACCCATTACACCCACATGTCCACGTTGTATGGCTACTCCACGCATTGCTGCTGCGGCGGCGACAGCTGCTGTTATTCATTCAGCATAACAATTCATGCGATAATTTTTTGTTGCAAATCATTTCGCGTAGAACGTAACGTTATTCACATCAAATCAATCATCAACGTTGTACAGATAGTTGGGTTGTATGCGTAATTGTAATTGTATGCAAATTTGTTTTTGTATGTATGCGAATATAGTAACAACGACACAGACCATTACATTTACAAAATTAAATTTTTTTAACCGTTTGTTGTTTTTGTTTTTGTTTGTAGATTTGTTGTTTTGTTGTCATGTGTTTTTTGTTTGTTTTTGTTTTTTTTTTTAATGTCATTGTTTAAATTTTTTTGGTGTGAGCGATAAATGTGGGCGTGTTTGTTTATATGTGTTTGTTTGTTTGTTGTGTGTAATTTGCAAAAAAGAAGAAAAGGAAAAGAAAAAGAACGAAAAACGCATGCGGTTAGTTTATTTGATTTTTCTCTCAATTTCATAATAATAAAAAATTTATATAACAAATATATACAAATGACATATAAGTTTAAATTTACTATTTCATACTTATTATATATATATATATAAATATATATTTATAAAGATATAACTTTTGCTTGTATATTAAAATTAAACATATAGTTTGTAATTCAAATATTCTTTCAATTAAGAACAAATAAAAGAAACATATTCAGAACTACATAGAATAAATTGTTTATATATTTTTAAAGTTTTTATTTCCAAGGATGCTGTGAAAAAAATTATTGCAATTAATTTATTTGTAAAACATTAAATTTTATTAAAAATTAATATTTAGTTTGCTATTTGATTGTTAAAAAATGTGCCTATTCAACGATTAATAAATAAATTGCGTTATTAAAATTGTAACTGACAAAGATAGAGGAAAATTGATTTTTTAATTAAGCATTTTCCGACGACATGTCCTGCGGGAACTTAAAATTTGAACATAAAAATCGAAAAAAATATTCTGATAATTTTAAACAAAATAAAAAATAAAAGTAAAAACACTTTTTTTTAAACTAACTATCACATATACATATACTGAATCCTTTAATTCCTAGGAGGAGCATAGAGCCGGATGGCTTAACTATCACATAATAAGAAATAAAAGGTTTTAAAATAATTTAAATGCTGTCATATTTTGGTTGACAAACCTTATATAGACCCTGTGATATATGTAGAATCATTGTGATAAGGAAATGATAATTGAATATAAGAAAAATAAAAGATATGTTCTACCGTAAACAGAACTTTTCACATATAAGAACAATTACACTTCTTCTGACTTAACATAGCGATTTGTGCCACCTAAAATCATATGGTGTAAGTGTTTAGAATATCGGATTGTTTTTGGAATGGTGGTACTAGTGGTGGCAAACAATGAATCGTCTCGATTTTGGTTAAAAACCGGTTTAAATGTCGATTGAGGATACCGGCTAACAAACGGAAATTTAGTTCTGTGCCATATTCTAGCCCTATAGAATGTTTACAATAAGCCTTTTCTTTTGTAAGCATATCACAAAAGAACAACTGCTTATTTTAAAAATTACATATGAAACAACAACACTGCTGGCTTATTTAGTCCAACCTTTTCGAAATCGTTTAACTAATAAACAGCTCAAATCGCATGGTTGCCAATACTAAAAATTCATCTATTGTGAACGACTTTTGGAAGTACCTAAAAAATTTCCAGTTAAAATATAGATATTGGATTTTAAAATCAATACACTAAAATATGTTATAGAGAATAGAATGTTACTTTACTGATTGAACAAATAACATCTTATTTTCCAAACAGCTGGTCAGAAGCTATTGTTCGATAGTATTAAAAAAAAATTTATAAAAGAAGTTTGAACAAAACATAAATAGAACAGATGACGGAAGTATTATCACTAAAGCCTCATTAAAGATTCCTTAAGTTATGAAGGTTTTTTTCCAAGAAGATATTGTTTTTAATATTATATAGAGTTTTCTTAAGACGTTTTCAATTATTTTAATATAAGTCTGCTATAATAAAAATATACATATTTAAAGAACATAAAATATCACAGTAAGATTCGCAACTGCTGACATAAAAATATAAAATTAAATGTTAAATATTTAATTAAATGAGATATGCGATAAATACTTTACTAAATCGCATTCTGATTAAACCACTAAAATGAGTTTTAACTAATATCATTTTTTTCAATCACACATAAAATTCGATTACAAGGCAAAAGGATATAATGCTATTAAACACAAAAAAGATGAATTTATTAAAAAAATATTTGTCAAAATAATGCACGCTTGATTTATAGTTTTAAGCCGTTTATGAGGAGAGCTTAACAATGAAGATATTTATTTTAAAAAGCCGCACATACAGGGTTTTCTAAAAATAATTCAGAAACATGCAGAGAATAACAACTTTTTTCCGTTATAATTCAAACAATTACCCAAGTGTGAATTTTATTTTGAATTTATATATATAAATTACTTAGTCTAAAAGCGATTTGTGCAAACTTATAATCTATATATATATAAACGATTAAAATAATTTAAGAAAAATAAATTTCAAATTTTACAGTTTAAAACTATTTAAATTCATTCGCACTGCTTTGGGCAACGCATATTTCTATATAGTTATATAGTCATTTTTTTACTATGAACATATATATACAGTATAAACAATTATTCGTGATTGTAAGCAAGTTTTTATAATTATTTATTAATAATAAGGTCGGCAAAAATACTAAATAAATATATATATGGGTTATCGTTCGCAAGAGTTTAAAACAGTTTTGATAATAAATATTAACATGAAAAACATAAAAAAATATAACGTATATCATAATAATGATATAATGCATTATCATGTTATAAATTTACTTGCGCATACCAACCAACCAACATTAATATTATCTTAGGGATTACATTTTGTACCTCTAAAAACCTTATAAAAAATTATTTAAAATAAGAGTAAAAATAAATTTGAAAAAAGAAGTGTGAACTTTTTTGTCATTGAATTCGAAAATTGTATATAATATTCTTCGAATTTGAATTCTGCTTTTAAGTTTTTGCATTTGTTTTGTCAAAGTTATATACCTCCGTCTCTGTGCTGCTGGACGTGGGGCTAGAACAATGGGTGCTGCTGTTGGTGCTAAGGGTGTGGTTGGAGGAGCAGTTCCAGCTGGAATTGGTGTTAGCGGTGCTGCACCCACAGGTGCACCCAAAAATGGCCACGTTACTGGTAGGCGGTAACCTTTACAAATGCAAATCGTCGTTTTGTTTTTGGAAATGAGTTGCAATCAAATTTTATTTTGTTTGTATATGAATGGTCTAATTTTTATTATAAATGCTTAACGAACATAAACCTATTTTAATTATATTAAGTATATATGCATATCTTTTATGTAATTGTATATATAAAAAAGCATATTAACAAAATATATAATAAATTTTGATGTTTTATTGCAAAAATGGAATTTAATGTATTTTGTTTTATTTAGTTTTGATTTATTTTTAATTATTAGTTATTATATTTGATTTGTAGAGTATTTAAAAATGTTTTAATAAAAACTAATATTAATTGCAGAATTATATATTTTATGCGCACATAGAAATTCTTCTAAACCAAATGGCACTGGCTGCCAAAAAAAAAAACGAAATATAAAATTTTGAAATCCAAAAATATAAATTTATTTATATATATATAAACTCTAAATTTTAGAGTTTAGGGTTTTGATAAATTTTTAACTATTTAAATTCAAGTCAGTTAAATGTTTACACATAGTTTGTTTTTATATAAACTATAACATATAATATATGTAAACTATAATTTTTTATTAGAACTCGTAGTTTTAAATTTATGAAATATTTTATTATATTATTTTTAAAAGTAATATTCTCGAAATTACAATTATATATTGAACTATTGTACTATTACCGACATCCAATGTTCGAGCCCGTAAAACTGATAACATATTATATTAATATATAATATGTACTATAACATATGATATATATATTAATATATAATATGTAAAATTTTTAATATAAATACAATATATATAATACATAGATTTATACAAAAACTATTGATTAATATATAATATCTGATGAATGTATTGTTAGGATTTTGGAAACCAACTAAACTTAGAAATAGTTTTCTAAGTATTTGATAGTTTGTTGGAAAATAAGTTTTATATATAATTATGATTGGAGAAAATTGTGAGTTGGTGTTTCTTAAAAACTAAGATCAATAAAAACACGGTTATACAAAACTAGAGTCGATTACTATTTAATTTCTTATTGGGATCCAGCGATCGCGAATGACCACGTCCACGTGTGAATCGTACGCAACAGTATTATACAAATATCCATTTTTCTATTAAATTACTATTTTTTTAATTTACTACATTTTGAAAAAAAAAATGACTGTTCACTATAATCAATACAGCCACTAAAAGGTTAGTAGTGTCAAATTATGAAAATATTGTTGGTATTAAAAATTATTGTTAGCTGAAACAATAATTTTTAATTAGGGAACTGGATTTTAAGATCGATATAAATGACATTTGAGTTAACTGTCGTCATGTGAATTATATGTGGTGTTGGATGAGAAAGTTTGCAAATACTAATTCACTAAAGTTTAAAGCAATCACTTTTAATTGAAATTTTGCAAAATAAAGTAAAAGTGAGTAATTAAATTCACATTTACGTTCCCAGTTGATTTACATGAGAGTAAGTTTTTTGTAATAAATAAAGTGCTTTTTTAATATTAGGGCAATTCACAATGTCGGTGCGTCGTTGCGAATGGAAAATCAATATCTGTTACAAAAACAAAAATGATTGAAAACGCGTTTGCAACATCCTTGCACTTGCAACAATAAAATCCTATTGCATTTCCGAATGCAGTAATTTTGCTAGGCTCTATTATGGGTGGCAATGCTGTATTTTTTTGTGATAAGTAACACTTTTTTGATAGTTTGTTGAAAAGCAGCTGTTTTAATTTTTTTGAAGAATTATAATAGGTGTATTCTTTTGACATGAATGCTCCAATAGATCAACTTTTAATGCTTAAGAATAAGTTGGCATCACTGCCTAAACCAGTAAATATAAAACAAGTAAAAACATTCAAATAAGTTTGCAGTTGCATTTTATAAAAAAGTTTTTTTATATAAATATATATATAGGCAATATGAGATCGTGAATAAATTCGTTTATATAATTTTCAAACTAGTAACATCACTAGTTAATGCTAAATGAGCAGTACTTAACAGTGTTTTTTTTCTTGCAATTGTCGTATAATTTTTTTATTCATGCATTCTATTTCTTAATGAACATAATACAGAATAATAAACAGTTGACTTAAGTTTTCCATTTTCTTCTATTTCATTCACAATAGATCAGTTTCAAGATTTGGCAACATTGACTTATTCAGTGACTTATCCATTAAGCACTTTCAGGAAAGTGGGCTAATTTTTGCGAATTTTGTTTTTGCTTTTCATGTTAATTTTTAAGCGTGTTCTATTGAAGCATTTAATATCCTTTATTTATATTTAGTATTTCTACTATAGACACATTGAAAAAATAACTATCATTTTAATTAATGAATAAGAGTATTAAGGCACGTATTTTTGTTATTTCATATAATATTTTTAGCTGTTATTAATATAGAAATTTATATTTAAAATTATTTTCACTAGAATTAACTTTAAAAATAACAAACAAGTAAACATAAAATTACATTTAAAAGTAATATATATATAAATTAAAAAAACATCATGCATCAAAATTCAATTGCATTAAGTCAACACGTTATTCGTTGAACTTAAGGTTAGGACTTGACTTGTATTTTATTTGACACAATTTAATATATACTTTTAATTTCAAATACATTTTTTTCGATATTTAGTTTATTATTTCACAAATTTTTATTGCGTGCATTTGAAACATTTTTAAATACTTTATATTTGTATACGTTAAGTGCTTTTTTATGTTTAATTATCATTCTAAGTTTCACCAAAACTTTCTCATTATTCCATTTTTGCACATACACCATTTTTAATATAAAAACAAAACATAAATAAATAAAATAATATCATTAATGAGGTAAATGTCATTCCAATATTTTAATTAAATTTTAAAATCTTTTGAAAAAAAATATTTAAGAATTTTTAAGACAACAAAAATTCATTTTATATTATTTTAATTAATTGAATTTTTGGCTGACCATAGGTATAGCTGTTTGGAGTATTGTCAAATGCCCATTATCAGTGGTCTTGGAAATAATTCTTGTATTTAATTATACGTAAATAGTTTTTTGAGATTGCGAGTACCAGAAATTGAACTCTTTACCTGCCAAATTTAATGCTCAGAGTCAGTACTTGAATTTTATGTTCGCATTTTTTTCTGGAGTTTTGTTAATTTGTTGTGAACGTTTTATTAACATATTATTCACTTGCTGTGTTTAGATTAGAACGAAATCATAAACCAACGTATAATCATTTAATTAATTAATTATATATTTTTTTTAATTGTTTAATTTCAATACAATTCTGTTTGAAGAGGCATTCAATATATATCTGAGTTTTATGATTTTTGAAAAACAATCAAATTTTAATAAAATTTGCGATTATGTTAGATTTTGTACTGATAGGGCTTCAAGATAATTTTTAATATTTCTTTACAAAAGATTTTAAAATTAAATATATATGTGAATTTTATGAATTTATTTATTTTAAAATCAATAAAATTTTGATAAAATGTGCGATTTTGTTAGTAGTTTGTAAACCATGTAATATGTCACATTTGGTAAAAATAGGTGTGTGAATTAATACTAAACCTAAAGCAAATTTAAATTAATAAATATAAGACGTAAATGATAATAAACAAATATATTAACATAATTCTTAAAACCGTGGTTTAGTTATACATACTAATATATTCATATGCATTTGATTTTTATTTTATATATATATATATACTATATTAATAATATATTAACTATAATTCATTTATATTTTCATTTCATTACAAACAATTTTACAAACACATAACTTAAACATAACACTATGTTAATTAAACGAAATATACGACTTCATATATCGAAAATAGCATTATTCAGGGTGGACCTAGCATTAATGTATTATAAAATTAAATAAACTATAAAATTTAAAAGTAAAAACATATTGTTTATGCCGAAAATATTCGAAATATAATACAAGCTTTTTATAAACATATTTTTTATAATTTTACTATCTTTAACTTCAATATAGTTTACATTATTAATCTTTTGCACGCATATCACAAGTTGCATACATAACCATCAAAAATGAATGTTTTGAAAGTTTCTTAAAAATTTTAAATTACTTCTTATATAAAAAATAGCTAAAATTAAGAAATAAAATCATATATAAAAACAAGGACTGCAGTTCTGACTTCATATTTCATACAAACTATTTTATTTCATTTTTTTTTTGTTTAAATGTTTGTATGTTGTGCTTATGTGGATAAACAATGTCTGTCAGTTATTATTAAACTAAAAAATCAAAGGCTAATATATTAAATATTTTCAAACAACAACAACAACTAAAAAGTATATAATTATAGTAAGAAAAATATAGTTAAGGAAATTTTGTAGAGTTTATGCACGCGAACGAACATACAACTTATTATTTTCTTCAGTTATGAGCAGTTTTTGATGAATTAAACATAAACTATCGCTCGGGAGAGGTTTTAATAACGTGCAATTTTTTTTTTCATATCTCTATTTTTTTCTTTTGGATTTTGAAACAAATTTATATATAATTTTATGTAGCTTAAAAATATTATTAAAAAAATTTTATATAAAATAAATAATGAAATGAGTTCCATTTGCAGACGTTTTCAAATGCGTTCTTTATATCAGACCTAAATATTTTTTTTCTCACTATTAATATAAATAACTTAATTTAAAATATTTAGAATTTGAAACCATAATAGTATTAATAAAATAATTTATTTCTCTATGACGTGGACTTACCTTCTGGCCATTGTACACACACTGATTTCCAATCGATTTTAAATAAAAGTAGAATTGTTATTTCGTTGCCAATAAATGTGAGTAAAGTGATCATGGAAAGGCATAAAAAGTAAGAAGAAGAAAATTAAATTTTATTAAGATTTTATTCAAAATGTTATATTTATATTTAAATAAATAATATATATGTATATTCTTATGAAAATATATATTATGATACAGTCACAACAGGCACTAACAACATGCTGTAAACACTTGCAATTACAATTTAAATCATTATTTCTTAAAATTATAATTTTTTATACTTGTTATACTGTTATACTGTTGTTATTGCTATTGTATAGATTTAGTTCTAAGGGTTATTATAAATGAAGGATATGCACTAGTCATTCAAGTTAGCAAAAGGTTTCTAACAGAGTCCATTCGTTTAACAAAGAAATATAGCTTTTAGTAGTTTAGTCAGTGAACGAAAATAAACACTAAAATACCGAATATAGTGTACTGTTTGTCATATTTGATAAAAACAACACTAAACGAACAGTACATTAAAAAAGTTCCAAACAATTTAAAAAATTTTCACCTTCGTGAAAAGATCGTTAAAAAGATCAATACCTTCGGGAAAAGAACACACACAGTAAAATTAAGTTTTAGAGTTTGTGTCCGCGAACACAATTTTTTGATGTGCTTCGGACATGAGCAGTACACTACGATAATGTACTGTTTATTTTCGTTGACTGAGTTTAATTATCTTTTGATTTTCATTTTCATTTTTTTGATGAAAATGATTTATTTTTTAAAACTTCAATTCGTTTGCTACTTGATGTACTCTACATAATTTTTATATGTCTTTTCATGTGTCTTGAGGTAGTCTCACATTAACAGCTGCTGTAAACAAACTAATTGACAGATGGCGCTCAAATTTGTACCATATGACCTTTTGAAAAAGGTCTATTACTTAAGGAGTAGTTAACAAATAACAAAATCGGGGTATTTTTGAGCAAAAATGATTTCAAAAGATTAATTTATTGGAATAAAAAATACTATATTGGAAATGTTTATTATTTAAGTAAATAGTTTTAAAAATCAAAAGACTATATAAAGTCGGAAAGATTAAATGTTATATTATTATATTACAAAAAGGGCTGATTGATATCTTCAATATTGAAAAACCGTATTTTGTAGCACTAACAATAATGGATTTCAAAAAATGTATATGAAAGAGATAAAATTCTAAAGAAGGAGAAAGAGAGTGAGAATAATAAAATAAAAAAATAGTGAGGAGAGAAAGGGGGAGATATACAGAAAAATGGAAATATAGAGAGAACGTTAGAGAAGTAGGAAAAGGATGAAGAAATAGAAAAACAGAGAGGTTAATAAAGCCTTAATGAGACGGATAAGAAAGAGAGAGAAATATAAAAAAAGTGAGAGAAAAATATAAAAAAGCGAGAGAGAAATACCATACAATTAAACGAAGACACAAGTAAAAAGAGACAGAGGAATAAGCAGATCGATGAGTACGGAATTATTTAGGCAGTAGGGAATTTTATTAAATTTATACAAAATTATTCAATTAAAAGCAATTTTCTTATATTTATATAAGATTTAATATCTTTAATTAAATACTATACTAGTATTCGGTTCTATACTAAAAAGACAATGATTTTTATATTTATTTTGTGTGGATTCGATTTGCGTTCTACATATATGAGAAAAATAATATATATAATAAATAATAAAATTTATTTTGGCAATAAATGTTACTGCATAATTAACATAGAAACGACATATTTAAGGGTGTTATTTTAAGTTTACAAAAATAACATTTTAATAATAATTACAGTGAATTTAAAAATATTATTTTAGTTTTTTTTTTATTGGCTTACAGAATCTCATGCACAATAGCACATGCACAATGACTTCAGAGCTCAAAATTTGATCTACTTTAATGAATATATCTTTGGAATCTTTATGAAGTAATTAATGAATATATCTTTGGTATCTTTATGAAGTAACTTCTAAAATGTAAGCAATAACAAATATTTTATAAGTTAATTTAAGCATGCTCTATTCCTTCCTAAGAGAATATTAATTTACTTTATCGATCATCTTTAAACAAATTACTTCAATTTTTACTTAATTTTTAGCATACTGGATAGATAACACTTTGAAGTTGATCAATTTTCAGATGAACTACTTTACGAACATTACAATACCATTTAAGCAGTTTACAAAGGTAATTTTAATTAAAGAAAGTATGCAGAAAGTTAATAGAATCTAGCCGCAATTAATAGTACTTGTAAATAAAGTTCAAATTAAAGTTAAAAAGGAAGAAGTTTATTCCTAATTTGATTAGCTTACTCAATATTAGTGAATAAATTTCTGTAAAAATAAACTTAAAGTGGTCTTGTTACTATGAACTCAATTTTTTGATAACTTTAGAAAAATAGACTTTTTTGACGAAGATAGAATAAACTTTTGCAATAGACAATCATTCATGATTTTATGTTTCGGGTAAGTGAAGAAAAGTGCCGTAACATCATACTAATTGCTTGAGAAAAGTGATGATGATCATTATCCTTTACAAAGCATGTAAAAGAATGATTTCGTTGTGAATATATGGTACATTTCATTTTAAGTATTGGATTAGTTCCAAATCCATATTGAAAATTAAAAAAATTGACCAACTAACTGATAAGTACGTTATAACGTTACAAGTTGTTACGATTGTAGACTACGATGTAATTGACTAATTTAGTTACATAGATGTAATTGAAAAATTTAATTACATAGATGTAATAGACAAATTCAATTATGTGGGCACTCTTATAAGAAACATGTGAAGTTTGTGATGAGAAACATGAAAAGAAGTTTTGAACATTTCAAATGTCGTATTGTAAGAGCGTAATAAGATATTATAAAAAATAACAAAAACAGGCGTTAGTTTTTAAGAATTTAAACATCATTTTGCATAATCGTAATTTGCAGTTAAAAAATAAAAAAAAATTGTGGGATGAATCGGGCTGTAAATGTACAAAGTCTTGATTACTTATTGAATTGATATTCTTATTGGCTACTTATGTAGAAGAAATGTGGGCTATTAAAAACTTAGATTTAGAATAAAATAGAATCGAAATAAAAAGGGTGCCGCCTCCTAACGGAGCGGAGCACCACGACAATAGTTGAACTTTTGTGCTGCTACAGAACCCTACCGAACAGAAGAAATTCCGCTTCTCGAATGATAACCAAAATGTCAGTCGCTGAGGATCTCCTAATGTCAGAAAAAAATAACTTAGATTTACAGAAGATAGAGTTGTATGTATATTAAAGATTATTACGGACTTTATGGATTACTTATACAACCAATATCATCGTTCTTGAAAAATGAAGGAACTTAAGTCCTCAATGTACAACCATGATCAACAAGTAGCAAAAGATAAAGTGAGTAGAAGTGGAAAACAAGAGAAATCACCTACTCAATGGATAATTTAATTGCTTTTCTGTTAGTCGGAAAAAAGGAGAGCGAAGCGATTAACCAACAGTGCAAGATCGATTAAACAAAATGGAGTAACTTAAGAAAAAATGTGATAGTTAAATAAGCCACTACTTTGTTTCTAGAGCAAAGGTTTTGAATGTTAGAAATTTTCATAATTAAGAGAATATAATTACAAATGTGGGTAAATGGAAAAGCTTCTTAAGTAAGTCTATTACAAAATAATAAAAAATTAGGTTTTCAATGTTAATATTTGCACATAAATTCCATACTAAATTAGTGAGTTATTAAAATCGTTTATAACAAAAAGTTGCAGAATATATAATTACATTTATTAAAAACTTTTAAGTCTCAGCTTTGGTATATTGAAAACTGACAAGAAGTTTAATAAAAACATTTCACTTTAATACAAGAAAAATATTTAATTTAAAATGGTTATGCAAGTCAATAAAATTTGCTTCTGTTTTCAAAAGTCGAAAGAAAAAGAATAAAAAAAAAAACAATAGTCAAATTGCATGCAACGGTAAGATAAGCAAAGTTTATGCAGACGATAATTAGCCGACATGACAAGGATTAAACTGTAACGGAGGACATTACGTATATGGGTAGGTAGAAGGAGGAAAACGTATTTCACTTACCGCAGCAATTTTTCAGTAGCACATTTGCATTTTTATACAAACTAAGGTAAATATCACTTAACTTACAGAAAAGCCAAAGTGGATCAGAAACTGAACAGCCATACATACTAGGCAAGATATATGCATATTGTACTTATATATATACATATATATACTATACTTGTATGTGCTTTAAAAATTTTGAATTGCAATATTTAGGTGAAGTTAACTTAACAATTCTTGGTATATAGCTGGTGCATATTATAATCAAAATGGGTATTTTCAATATTTCTGTGTTCGGGTATCACATAAATTGTGCAAAAGGAGCTGTTGAAAATGTATGAGAAATGTATGAATTATTTTTTATAAAAGGTAACTGGCAATAATCAGTAGCTACTGCGAACAGTTAACGTATGAAAAATAGAGAAATGTTGATCCGATAGAAATGGTTTCACAGTTTGAAATTTAAGGAACACCTATGGAGCAGCAGCACATAAAGACAGATCTACTAAGTATTATTTTGTGGTTAAGAGAAAATAAGAAAATTATACAGTTGTGTACTATGATGCACACATACGAGTATGTAAATTACATAGGACGAAGGTTGGGTAAAAGTTAATTTCAGAGGAAAATAAATAAATAAAAAAATGCATCAGTGACATGACATTATTGTTGAAGTTAAGCAACATTTGCAAAATCAACGTCACAACTTAACTGCAGGTAACAATTTTTATTTGTGAATATAAAATATTGTGTCACATTGTCAACCATTTTGGGTAATAATTTCCGTACCAAAAGTTTTATTACGATTTTTTTGATTCAAGGCTTCCTTATAACATTTGTAAAGGATGGTGGTGTAAGTTAGTTGTGTGCCTGTGAATACATTTGTTCATTTACTTTTGATGATATTTTTTTTTCTCAAGTTCTTTGGATTGCTATACAAATACATACATACACTTGAATACATTGAGGGCAACTGTTGTCGTTTATGTGCAGGAAGTTCTATACTAGTTCTATACTAATTTCGAAACAAAAATATGCAAACTAAATGCAAAATGGAAGTTGATTCCTCTACCTTTTTTTTTTTTTTTTTTTGGTTTCGTAGTATTGTATAGGTAATACTAGCAAACATAATCTCTATATGTGTACGCATATGTTGTGATAGAGAAAAATGTTCGTGAGCTTTAAGGGTAAGCGGCTTAAAAGAAAGCAGAGACAACTGCAGATAGAAAGTTTTAATATTTTTGAATGTATTTGCTATTCGAAGATTATATGGAAGTGTTTTAAAACTAATATTGAAGCTGATGTCGTTAGTTGCAAGATAACAAAATAATTTATTGGGTTGCATCGGAAATTTTTGCAAAAATTTGAAACTAAAACTGATTTATGGGTGCGTTACGAAATATGCATATTTTTTCTTCTTCTTATTTTTGTATTATTTTTAAAGGAAATGAAAGATATTTCAAGTGTTACACAAATTTATATTATATATGTTGTTATAAAAGTAAAATGCAAAGATAATCGAAATGTCAAACTAACAATTTAATGCATTTCTTATAGTTTTGTTACTGTTTTTGAAAACTTTTGTGTCTTCTAATTTGCATACAGGATAAAGTGCTCTTATACAAAAAGCATTCATTTTAAATTTAAATGTGCAAATCTCATAAAAGCTAAATAACTTTACAAATAATGTTGCAGTATGTTTCCTTGCACGTTACAAATTGCTATTGTGTACTTTGAAACTCCTTAAATTCTTTTCTAATTAAATAGTATTTAGAATTACATAATTACTTTTTTTGTGTCTGCATGCTTTATATATATATATTTTTGGAATTATAAATTTTATGCAATAATATAAAGGGTTATATACACAAACATGCAACATGCCAACAACAGGCGCAGGCAGCAGTAAGATGCTTTATATATTACAAATTCTTTTGCAGGCATATTTTTAATAACCGATTATACAGATTATTACAATATAATTATCAAAGGAGAAGCTAACACAGTAATTGATTATTATAAGCCAATTAAATATTTAGTTTATTTAAATATTGTTATTAGTTTATTTGAAATGGCTATTGGCTCACCTAGAGCTGGAGCTGGTATAGCACCGTCTTTTGTCAATACAACTGTTCGATGCGAAATATAAAAGTAAAGGTACAATCATTCAATCAATTACTTTAAAAATAACTTTTAAACAATGCAAATTCTGTATTAGTTACATTATAAACCAATATATATAATTATATGTATATAACCTAAATTTGATATTTTATGCAAGTATTTAAGTTTAAGATATATAATTCATTTTAGTAAATAAAAGTATAACAATTCAAGTTTTCATCTGTTTCTGCTAATAAAATTTGTTTTATATTTTGTTTACATAGTAGCGCGTTTCTCTAAATCCGGTGCATGGACTGAGGCCCATTGCATTAACACCACCGGATCGGAAAATATTATATATTTTTATTGGAGTAATTATAAATAAATTAAAAATTACACTTAAAAAATGAATATATACAAATATATAAAATGTTTAATTTGTTTTTAATTTAAAAGTCGGTTTTGTTTTTGAAGAATTTGAGCTTTTGTTTCGCTCGTTATTTTTAGTATATTTCTAAACGTATTTCGGTAAAGGCGAAATAAATTTTTTTTTAGAAATATCTAAAAATAACTATCAAACAAAAGCCAAAATTCTTGAAAATATGAAACGTTATTTTTTGATTTTGACATTATTTTTTTTTTTTGGAAAATATTGATACCGATGTTTGCTAAACATCTTGAATATATTTCAGTCCTGTTGAGAAACACTGATTTATTAGATATTCTGCACCCGCTCACCCCTACAACTACGCTAGTAAATTTATATTTAAATTATATCTAACAAATGAATTTACTTTAAATAAGGAGAAACTAAAACAATACATAATGTATATATATACAATAAAACGCTTTATAATAAATTCTCTAAAAACTTATATCATATAAATCAATGAAATTTATTATAGTAGTATATATATATTATATAAATAAATATTATATTTATCTAAGGAGAAATCTTGATAGATTTTAATACTTCGAATCAAACAAATAAATTATTTAACAAAAATTGATATATATTTACTGAACTAATTTCATACACAGAGCTTGGATATTTTTTTGTTTTATAGGGATGTAATAAAGCTACTTCTTAATAGTAGCAGATAATAATAGGGTAGGTCTTGAAAGTTTTGACTTTTTGGCGATTTCTTTGACGATATTGTAAGTCTTCTTCAAAGCTTCCACTTATTGGTGTAGTTTATTAATATGGGTAAACGTTAAAAATGTTTTAAACAATTTTTATTTTCGTGTTACGATTAAATGGATGTCACATAGATGTCACACACGAGATATTATTGTGTTATAATTATTATTGTACACATGATAATCTATGCATAATTTGCGCTTAATGATTGTGTCTAAATATATTTCAAAATTTATTTTAGAAAACTATTATTAAGATCAACATGTCTAGGGTTTAACTCACTAGCAACTGACATAGTGTTCTAATACTAAAGATAGAAATTAATTAAGAAACAAACTCTTGTATAACAAATTATATTTAAAATCAATTCTCTGAATCCTAATCTGTTTTTCTTTGTAGAAAATTTCACTTAAACCTAAATTTAGTGAAGAAAAAAGTACTGAAATTAAACAAGTGAGTATTGTGATTAATCATATGATTATGGATCATATGGTAATATTTAAGGAACATATATTGTACAGCTCTTTAATGTATAATTTCTTTTAATTAATGTTATAAAATTAAATATATATATTAAATAAATAGGTGAATAGGTAAATATAAATATATAATAATTATAGATGAGTTTTGTTCTCTGAAGAGTTAAGATTTATTGCTTCTTGATTTAGAAGTTATTTTTATTTTTAACTTTCATATGACAAATACTAATTGTTTAATAAAAATACTGCTATATAATAATAATTTATACATATAAATACTGCATACATATATATTATGAATATTTGCTAAGCTAATGCTTACTTTGTTTGTTAGTTTTTTCTAAATTATAAAGAAAATTTGTGTTCTGCACAAGTAATATTTACGAAATTATTTTTTTTATTCGTAAATATGTAAACTAAATTAAAACTAAATCTACTCGAATGGAGCCTAAATTTTTTAATTGTCTAGGAACGCAAACATTTTTCGCCTTTTAATTATAGGAAAATTTATATTACTGCTACGAAACTTCTTCTTTGTGATAAACATAACTAGGCTATTATTAGTATTACTATATAAAATTCCAAATATTATTTATATTAATAAATTAATTTTACAAAATTTCATTTTTTATAAAAATTATAACTTTTAATTTACTTTAAATATTATAAAAAATATATTACCTCTAAATTCATTATTTTTTGCATTAGTTAATTTTTAAATACATTTATTTTCTTGGTAAAATTTCTTGACTTTTTTACCTTAAAAAGTTAAAATAAACCAACTATTAAAAAAAATCGTTATTATAAAATATAAAAAATTAAACTATTACAGAAAAATACTCTTTCTATTAACTTTTCTTCAATAATGTTCTATGCTAAATATTGTATAATCTGTTCCACCAACTACTTGAGATGATTACGAGTAAATCCAAACATATTCTTCCAAGTCTAAAGTTAAGAAGAGATATAGAAATAGATGAGAGATTTGACATGGATTTTGGTAAAGGCATTAATTTTAAGCAATATTTTTCATTACACCATATGTCAATAAGACGAAATACTCAAATTTTAAAATACGAAATTTATATTATGAAATTTATATACATATTTTGATATATTCAAAATATAGGTGTAGTCAATCTAAAAAGTTTACAATCTTAAACCATAATATCACGAGAAGTGATACTGTTGAAGCAATATTAATATATAGCGTGCCCGAAAAATCGGAAACGTGCCATTCGTTTACACTGTCACAATTAAATTATTAATTATATAGCAACAAGTGCCACTTCTCATACATAATCCATATAGAAATGTACAAATAGTATTAAATAAATTTATTATTATGTTGAGCCTAGTTGAGTCAGTGCACTTGAGCACTTTTACTCTCTATTAACTGCGAGGTTAATTAACTTCATAACCCTACTCTACGACTTAATTGGATTATTGTTTATATCTTCATCTAACTAAGCAATAATTGACCTCAGATCTGTATATTTCCCCAAAAGCTTGTAACCATTCTAAGATTTGATAACGCGGTTTTGGTAAGCTAGTCAGTTTTCGTAACTAATTTCAGGGCACTATCTTTTATATATCTTCTAACCGGATCAATCTTGAGATTTAGGATGATGTCATTCGTCATAATGAACTATGGTACCTTGAGAATTCTTCTCAGAGCCTGGTTTTATGCACTTTCTAGTTAGCGAATTTTACTCGAAAAAATTTCATATGCTATACGCACTCAGTTTAAAATATATTACAGTTTTACTCGGGTTTTCCATCGAAGAGTTAATGGAACAGATTAAATATAATAATTTTGTAAATAATTTGTTTACATTTGTACATATACATATTTCATTTAACTAAACTTTCTATTGCAATAAAATAGTTAAATAATGTTTTAACATAAAATACCCTTAATACATATAATAAGAAAATATATCTTATTTAACTAAAAAAATTATCCTTTCGTTAGTAAATCTTAGGTAAAAATAAATATCAATTTTTTATAGGTTATGTTTAATTCTCTCCAAAAAAATAGGTCTTTAACGCAATTCTTTAACTTTTAGAAAACAAATTTGAAATTCATGTTGTATGTTTTTTTTTATATTTAGTACCTCTTAAATATAATATAATATATATGTTTTCACATACAGGTGAGAAACCATTTTAAAAACGAAAAAATTTAAAATAAAAATAAAACTTTTTTGATATGTATGTTTTATTAAACAAATATAATTAATGCTTAAATGAAATGTGAGATAGCAGGACTTACCGTTGGGAACTGTAGTCACTTTTTTTGTTTGTACACGTGCGGTGGCGTTGTTCACCTTTACCAGTGCAAATGATGTCGAAATTTTGGTTTGGTTAAAATTAAGAAATTTAAATTAAAATGATACAGAAAGATATATATATTTGTTAGCATTTTTGTTTTAGATTGAAATTAGCATAAATAATTTTAATTAAAAATTTGCTTACTTTGGCGCGATTTAAGTACACATTGGCGCTTTTAAGTGGCGACGTTTCGTGCCTGAAATAATCAATTTTTCTCTCTCATATTTTAGCTAAAATATAAAATTTGTTTTGCAGTGTACATATTTTTTTTTTTAATATACGTGATATATTATAAGTGTATGTATGGTGTGTGTGTGTGTGAATGTTGTTTTCATAACATAATTGTGAAACCTGGAAAATTAAAATTTTCAATAATCTGTGCAGAATAACACTTATTTCTATATATATATATATATATATATATATATATTTATGTGTAAAAATGTATTGCGGTAACATGCATACAAACATTCATATTTCAACTCAGATATATTGTATATGTATGTATACATAGACTAAATTGTATAGAATATAAAATGGTGCTAAAATATCAAAACAATAAAAACAAGCACAGGCACAGTACCGAAGCCAGCACCACAAGCACAGCCAAAACAACAACAAAATGACTGCTGAAATAACTAAATGAATGAATGCCATGACACATCACCTGCGTCACTATGAGCTGGGAAAGTTTCAACATTTTACAGCCACTATCAAAAGGAAATTAAATTTTGCAATTGAATATATTTTAGATTTTTTTTCCTATTTTTTAAAATATTTTTGGCAACTGTAACACGGTAATAACAGTTTATGAGGAAAATATATGCGGCCAAAAATAAGTTCAAATTAAATGATTTTATCTGAGAGTAGTTAGCGAGCGAAAGGAAAAAAAACTTTCTTCCTGCCTCTATAATTTTTTTTTTTTAATTTTTCCCGAATTTTTGTCGAATAAATTGAATTTTTGCTCTACATGGCGTAACGAAAATCTAACGAAGTCCAACCAACAAACAAATCAATGAATGAACCATGCTAAATTGGTTATTGGTTAAAATTCTACGCAATTCTGTACACTAATTGGCAGCAGCGGTAAAAGCTTTTTAGAACGGCGTCAGCATAATTGCAGCTGTGCTCTCCTCCATAAACTTGCGTGTTTAGTCAACCGTAGTTGTATGAATGCGAGTATATATCATAAATAAGGAATTCATTAAATTTTTTGTTTATTTGAATTTATTGTTGTAAAAAACTTCAATCGAATTGTTATGAAAATTTGGTAAAATATTTCATGGTTTTTCATAGAAAAATTCAAATCAATGCTGTTGTTTATTTACCAAATAAATTTATCACAGCTAATAAATATATATAACGTTAATTTAGTATATACATAATAAATACATAAAAATAAACGGAACATTCGCGTATAAATAAAATCACATTATTTACTAAAAGTGATGAATAATTAGGACAGAAATTGAAAATGTCTTGATTAAAAAGTTGACTTAATTTGCTGCTGTTTTTTTATTCTTCAACAAAAAGCCAACTTAAGACGAGATAAAAAAAACTTTCTATAGAATAATTATGAGTTCTCTTTTTTATTATTTCTGTTTCTACAAAGACGGGTGTAAATGTTTAAATAAAAAATTTATTATATTAAAGCTAGTTGAGTCAGTGCACTTGAGCACTTTTACTCTCTATTAACTGTGAGGTTTCTTTATAACCCCCCCTCTCTACGCCTTAACTGGATTATTGTTTATTACTTTATCAGACTTATTGACCCCATATCTGCACACCTCCCCGAGAAGCCTATAACCATTCTGAGATTCGATAACGTGGTGTTGGTAAGTCTGTCAGTTTTATTTAATTTCATATAATTATTTATATTAAATTAATTTTTAACGTCCGTTTTGACGAAAGAAACTAAATTCTTTATATAAACTATTATTTTCAATAATGCTCTCAATATTTCGAATAGCATTAAATTACAACAATAAAATTTTACTATTTTATTAATTGAATTGAGAATTGCCAAATACCCATCTTTATTCGTCTTGGAATTATTTCTTATATATAATTAATCGTAAATAATTTTTTGAGACTGCAAGTACCAAGGGTTCAACTCGTGCCCTACCAAATTTGAAGGTCAGAGTCAGTGTTCATTAGCCAACTGAGTTTGACTTATATGTTCAAACTTGAAGTTTTATTAATTTACTGCGAAAGTTCATTAACGAATTTATTTCTGGTTTATTAGAACAAATCCATAAACTAGCTACACAATAATTGAATTAATTCATTATATATGCTATTTTAAATTCAATTAATAAATAAAATACAATTATCTATATAAATATCGCAGACGTTTCAAAGTTTAATTAGTGAACTATATAAAAACAAAACTAATTTATCAGTTTTTTATTTAAAGATTCACAGCAGCCTATTTAAAAACAGAAATCGTTATAATAATTTTTTAAACAATTTTATTAAAAATAATGTTTAAATCTAAATAATTTTTTTAATTTTTAATTTAATTTTTAAAATCCAGCTTTTTTAAATTATTATTGATACCGTCAATAACATTTTAAAAGAAAATATCCTCATCGTCCATTTTACTACGAATTTCTTTCAGCAAATTAAGATGGTTTTCCATATTAGGAGCGGTCATAATATGTAGCTTGGCGTTTCTGTACTCCACTGGAGCGACTAAAAACTGTTCTTCATGTCAATGAGCTTAGTCACTCAAAGGATGGTAGATCCTATCTACCTACCTGCTCTGTGTTTACACTTATCGCGCGAAAATTCATCCTCTTGAGTTAGGAGTTAAACAAATCATAGATCAAAACGTCAAAAAAATTCAAATATACCAGAAACTTTGAGGCCTTATGCTCCAGTAGGAGATACAGGAACTGATGACGATGATGAAGGGTTAACCGACTTTAAAAAGTTGAAAAAAGAAAACATAACATAGTTAGTTAGTTAGTTGTAGTGGAGAGAGGATAAGTCCTCCTCCATTAGCTAAAGAGTCGTTAGCTCTAACATACTGTGCTGAGAAGTAAAATTGCTTTTTTTTAAATCTTTTATTAAAAAGTCACTAACTTTTTTAACTATTCTCATAATTCTTGTTCATAGTATAACGGATATTTTGAAATATTTTGAAACCTGAAAGTCATAAAGGACTGCTGATCAAAAATCAAAAACAGAATAATCAATTTTTACCCAACTTTCCTTTGATGTAATGATTTATTTGTTGTTAGAATACTTTACATAACAATATTATATAGAAATGACTTCATTATAATATATGTCTAACATAAATGCTATTAACGATGAAAGTCTTGTAGGAAAACTTATGAAATAATACGAATATTATTACTCATATTTTAATTTAATCTTTATTATTTCATTTTGATGAAAGTGTCCTTAAAGAAATAATAAGTAATGAAATAGCACTTTACTTTGAAGTTTAACTTTTACGAAGTTAAATAAATTAGGGAAATACGCAAAATTGCCAAAAGATTGCTTAATCATTGTATAAATATTATGCTTAAAAGGATTATGCTTAAATTCGAACACAGGCAGGCATATATATATATATATATATGCAGGAAAAACAACTAAAGGTTGAAACGTAACACTGCGACAAATTTTACTAAAGATAATTAAGCACAAATGCTGCGTTCAGCAAATGAAATATGCAAATTTAAATGCATAAATACAACTGTACCACTGCGACGTGTCAAATGAGGTGTGTGTAAGTCTATGTATCTGAGTATCTGAGCGTATGTGTATGTGCGTAGGATTTCTATATCATCATTTTCTGCTTGGATTTAATTAAATTTATAATAGCAATCGCATTAATTGAAGGAGCAAACTGCACAAGTTGGGAATAAGTGGAGCTACTGAAACCACGTGAGGAGACGTTATTACACTTGGATTGTCATCAACCAGAGCTTTGCGTATTGAGCAAGAAGTTGAAGTTAGATGTGAGCACGACGCACCATAAAATCAAAATTAATATGCAAAGTTGATGAAACTACTAATGTCATTAATTTTTGATTTTTTGCAAAATAACAAATTTGTGGAGGAGACCTTTTATGACAATAAAATATGATTACAAAATGTGTTTTAAAGTTAATACTATTTTTTATTTTTTCTCATAAAAAAGTATTTATTTAAAATTAAAATTTTTTTCTACTTGGTAATAATTTATTATTTATTGCATATTAAAAAAAGGTGAACAAACGCAATTTTTAAGATTTCTTTATAAGATTGAGTTCAAGTATATTGAGATAAAGTAGATTAAAATTTCCTAGGGATTTTTTGCTCTACATTTATGTAAATATTTATTTATTTATTTAATAAAAATAAATTTGGTAATACTCGATACAGCTGTATGGTCAGCCAAAAATTCAATTAATTAAAATAATATAAAAAATAAAATTTTTGTTGTTGTATTTCACTACTGTTCGAAAAAACCTCTTTATAAAAAAATAAATTCATTTATTTATTTATTAAACATCTTATAAAATTTTATAAGAGATGTACAATGTTCCGGTACAAGCTTTGATGTTGTGAAAATACCAACGAGGAACATAAAATACCCATTGACTATCATTATAAATGTAAATATTCATGTCAATTATATCATTGTGGTGATTTAAGGCGAGAAGGATAACAGAAACTGCTGCGTACTATGCAGTGATCCGCTAGTCAAAAGAATAGTTTTAGGTTGAATTTCTCAAAGAATACACAATCATCAATCTTATTTTCACCTTATAAGCTGTCTGTGTAACTGTCCAAGCACTTATAAGGAATCTCATTGCTCTTAGTACAGTTTTCCTTTGTATGGATATGAATGCCAAGGTGGTAACACCTAGTTTAGCTAATTTTTATCTAATTTACCCTACTCGCAATTCTGGTAACTACCAACATTCGCTGCCATATTGACATAATTTACTGTTTCCCCCAGTTTACCATCAATTTACACGAACTCGCACACGGCCTA